AAACCCAATCGCCACTATTCAGATCTCAACCGCCCACTCACTGTTCTTCATCTTCTTCGCGAAAAATTCTCAAACTCGCAAGAACCCTAGACCTCTCTTTCTCTCAAATTTTCACCCAAATTTCTGAGAAAATGAAGGTTGTCGGAGCAAATGTTCATTTCCAGAAGTTAGAGGCCAAGTGCTCTTCATCGACATTCTTTCAAAGCTATATGGAGATGATGGGCGCTCAAGAACTCTCCGAATTTCTTCAAATGGAGATTCGCCTCAAATTCGAGGAAGAAGTTCTTGAATTCTACAGGAATGGAGAAGTCAAGACTGCTCATTCAAAGAAGGACCCACAGAGGACGTTTCCAGTCATCAAGTCCACTGTAGGGGGTACAAAGGTGAAGCTTTGGCAGAAGAAATTGGGAGAAAAGCTTCGCCTTCCCAATTCTGGAGTTGAAGTTGGAAAACTTCCAGTCAAAAATCTGGACTGGAACATCATTGGAATCTCTGGGCAAATTCCTTCTAGCCCAGCGAAGAAAGCAGATCTAAACAACGATTACAAGTTGATTTTGGAATTGGTCATCGCTTGCCTCGAATGTGGAAGTGGAGGTCACGCCGATGACATCACCCAAGAGAGAGCCTTCATCATCAACGCTCTCATTACCAAAACTAAGGTAAACTGGGCTGCACACTTTTTCAATTCCATCTCAAAGCATTTGGGAAAGCCCAACCAGAAATATCTCTGTCAAGGACTATACCTTGGACATATTTTGGAGTCTATGGGTATTGCTTCTGAAGGAAAGAAGTATGGAGAAAGATACTGGTTATACTATCTGTCTTCAAAAGGGGAAAACAGAGCTGGTACTAGTGCCACTGCAGAAGAAAGCTCTTCAGACAATGTCCTGCTCATCCATATGGCAAAGACTGCCAAAAGAAAGCAAGTGGTGTCTCCCTTCATTAGTATTGAAGCACCACAGAACCTTGCCTTGGCATGTTTGGAAGAAGAAGAAGAAGTCTCTGACCATGGAGAACTTCAAAGGAAGAAAAAGAGAAAGATCAACTCTCCATCAACATCTGGAAATGTCAATCCGGATGAGTTGAAGGAGAAGGAAACTGCTGAGGAAACCTCTGTTCAAAACCGGAG